TTGTTGGCTTCAGGATTACATTTCCCAACCATGCTTTTTAATCACTGTAAACATCAGAGGTGAAGAATTTGGTGGAGAGAAATCTGGCTGCTTCTTTGTGTTTTTGATCAGACCGGGGCTTTGATGCCTTCTCCTTCCCCATTCCAGTGCCTGAGCTTTATATGTGACACCACCACGGGGCCTCAGGCTCTGAGATCTGCACATGGAGAGCATTTCCCTGCCTACATCTCCATCCCCTGAGGGATGCAGCCCCAGGGGTGATGCCCTGCCCAGTGAAGAGGTGCCACAGCTACCCCACAAAGAACAAGACAGCCCACGCTGTCACTCAGTCTCTCAGGGACTCCCCAGCAAGCCTGGAAATTCACACTTTGCTTTTGCCACGCTCCTCACCCATGAGTTTCTCTCTGCAGTGCTGGAAAACCTGTGGAGTGAAGAATCCTGGTGTAAATTCATGAAAGGAGAGAGGGAGGTCCAAGCCACCTCTGAATGAGACACCAGGGGTACAGCAGGAGGCTTTCTGCCACAGGATGGAGCTCAGTGCAGGCTGCAAAGCATTTCTAGGAAGCTCCACAAATACTCAAAGCATCTCAGTCTCATTGCACTGCCAGTTGTGCCTCCAGGCAGATAAACTGCAAAGTGACTGGGAAATAAAAAATGGTGTAGGTGAAGGTCTTGATCATGTCTGAAAAAAGTACAATACCCAAGAGAGTGATGGGGGGAGAGAAGAGGCAGCTCCTGTAAAAAGGGAGCATGTGAACTCTGTGGCTTCAATTTTGTCCCACTTACTCTGTTCACCAGCTCTACAAAGTGTTTCTCACACAGAAGTGTATTTTTAACAACACAGAAAAGAATGTGGCAAAATTGGAAGCTCGAGCTACTTTTAGCCCAAGTAAAAGGCAAATGCCATGTAAGAAGTTGAATGGCAAAGGAAAGATTTTTTAAATTTTTTTTAAACCAAGAATGGCCAAATTATTATTAATGGGGCTGATCTTTCTGACTGTGAAATCTTACTGAAAAAAAAAATTTAACAAGCGAAATTCTCAACAATCTCTTCTACCTGAGCATCCTGCACAACCAGAAACTGCTTTGCCAAAGGAGTTAAAAGTTTTCTGCAATAATGCAGCAAATCACTGTGTGCAACAAGCACAGACACATTCTGTGGCAGTTTCCCCACAAGGTTCAATCTATGGGGTAAAAAAGTCTTGATTTATTATATAGCACTTGGACAGTTGTGAATGAAAATTTGCCAAAGATCAGAATAATCAACTCTTTCACCCAGGCAGGTTTTTTATGCAAGAAAAAAAGCACAGAATGGGTCTGAGCAAAATAAATAAAAATTCCACACTTTTAACCAACAGAACCTTTTGCGTCATTCAGAAATATTTACAGACATCCAGAATCTTTTATCATCAAAAAGACACTCTGGCCTTTCAAATTGCAACTTTTTCTTATATTTTTATTTACTGATGGCCTTTAAACTGGTGGATATCTCTAACTTTTGGCATCTCTTCATGTCATGTCAAATGCAGGAACTTTTAAAGCTGTTCCTTGGTATTTCTTTTCTCTTCCCTTGAAACATCTCTCTTTTGCTAAGCTGTCATCTGTGAGTTTTAAAGATAGCAGAACCCCATCTACAGCAGCACCCATCACATGAGTCATGGTAGCTATGCCTCAAAAATCAGTTTTTATTGACTGACTGGGCCTCTGGTGCCAATATGGAAATCTTCCAACCTGGAAAGGGCCGGCTGTTTTAATACAATTAAATACAGCCAGGAAGAGGTCTGCAAATGGAAACATGCATTAGCCATTCATAGTATACAAGCCTCTCTCAGAGCCCAGCAAAGTGCAGCATCCCTGCTTCCCCTGCTTATTTAATTAGCACACAATGAAGGCCACTGAATTTCCCTGCAAAAGGTGTTGCGTACTTTGGACAAAAAAGAAAGGAGAAAAGAAGTTGCTTTTAAGTCCAGTCCAAAAAAATAGCTCCTTGGCTAAATGGCACTTTTAATAAAGACGTTTCCAGTGTTTGTTTATTTATCAAAAAGCAGTGTTTCTCTCGGGTGTTTTGATTTTTATTTCTGTGCACAAGAAGGAGGGGAAAAAAAGGGCTTTACTAAGCAACTCTTTCAGTGAGACACCAGATGATGGATAGTCAAACACAGAGTCTCCTGTAAACACAGAGGTAACCAAAAGGTATGAACTGACTCATAATTGTGTCAACACAGGTCGCAGACCCTTGGTTTATTTCAGCCTTCCTGTTTTTCACAGATTTCTTCTCACACTACAGTATTTTTTTTAAGACACAGACTCTTTTCAGTACATCTTAGCGGGGTGCAAAAGCACACACGTTTTTACACCAAAATGTGGGCACCTACACACACACGTAGGCTGTACTGCCCCAAGTTCAACAGCAGCATTTTCCACCTATTGCTTATGGCTACATTAAACTAAGCTGTGCAGTCCATGACTGCTCTAAATCAAAAAGTCCATCCCATTCCTGCCTCCTGCCTTTCCCTGGAGGCTCTTGGGAAGCATCCAGAAGAGAGGAATACAACAAAACCTCAACAGCCTAGTGCTCCAGCTCATCCAACCCTCCAAGACTTGCTGTGATTATTTTTTTTAACCTAAGTGGCAAGACTCTGTCTGATGGAAAATGCTGGGAGGAGGACAGGCAGCAAAGAGGTCTGTGACGAGCAGATGTCCTGATCTCTAAACAAATTGAATTAGGCTGCAGCCTTTCCCTTGTATAAAGTTTAGAACCATGGTTTGGAAGATTGGAAAGATCATCTAGTTCCAATCCCCCTAAAAGACCTTCCAATAAAAACCTCATTCAACCTGGCCTTGGAGGAAAAAGCATTTCTGGGCTCTCTATTTCTGAACTAGAAAGGTAAGGATTTTTTATGGTATGGGCTGAAGTGCAGACACCCTAAGACATTGAATCCCCTGCAAGTTCCAGAGCAGTTGAAGGGCCAGGAAAGATGTTCCAGTACATTCCCTGTACCTGTGCAGACATTAGTCTGAAATCCTGAGATCCTTTTAAAGGACTTGCAGAAAATAACAAAATAAGAATGGGTTAAAGCCAGGGGAATTGTTCTTCCTCAGCAGAGGCAGGAAAAGAAGCCCTTTAAGGCCAGACTGCAGTGAGCAGTGCTTGTTCCTGGGTGTCCAGGGAGCACAGAGCCCAGTAAAGGGATCTGCAATGGATCCAGCCAGAGCACACACATGAAAAGGACTTAATGCTACAGACCCACCCACCCAAGATGTGTCAGACACCCTGCATGAGCCAGGAGAGGTTCAGACAACTGTTTATCTGGGGTGTTTCAGCTTCAGAGATTCACTGAAAATGGCAGAGCCAGCAAGGACAGATAGCATTATTCAGGCTGAGCAGTGCCTTATTCCTTGTGTAATCACATCCAGCTCAACTCAGCAAAAATCAGAGTTACAGAACCAGGATTTGGACCTTATTTCCCACTGTAGAAAAGGCAGTTGCTAGAATTCCCAGCTAACAGGTAATCACTGCAGTGACTGAAACCAAATCTGCCCAGAGATCCCACAACAGCTCTGGCCTGGTTACATCACCAAATCATTCACTGAAAAAATGCAAAACAAATTACATTAGGGTGAAGCTGACACACACAAAAATGCCAGAAATAGCATTTCAGAAACAGAAATAATTGTCAGACCTAATTTTTTAAAGACTATTTAGTAATCTAGATAGTAGACCTTTGTAAAGAGAGAACATTTTATGTGGAGCCATTTTCCCCTTTGGAAACCAAGGCTGACAGAACAATGGGGAGAATTGCCTTTGCAAATTACAACATATTAAGTCAGGTTTGCTTCCAGCAGGTTCTGTACCTTCAGAAATTGGTCAGGCTTTGCATGTTTGTCAGCTGGGGAAACTCTACACTCTATTCTCCTGCCTCTCCTCTTTTCTTTACCTCCCTTTAGCTACAAGAGAAGGCAAAGGAAGAAAATTTTACTGAAGGTGACCATGAAAAGAGTCTTCCAAACATTCCACATATTTCCTCTGCATAAACATGCTGTGGATTTCTAATGTAAATAGTGCCAGGGCACTGTCACTCAGACCCCAGGAGCTCACCCAAGTTAGACAAATTATGCTGCCCGTTATCTCAGTTGTTACAGATTCTTGCCTTTCATTCATTTCTTGCCAGTGGCTGGATTTTATGTGCAGGGGAGAAAAGAAGCCTCAAATGCTGAAGTTAACCTCTTGTGGTGAGGCCAGTAATCCTGGGCTTTCCAGGGGAGAATGCAGAAGGAGATAGCTACTGGCCTTGTCTGCCAAGGCAGCAGTCAAAGGAATGCTGAAATTTGGCATGTGTGAGCAGGAGAAATGCAGGGCTGTGAAAATGGACACTGCAAGCTCCCTGCCAAATCTGCAGCATTTGGCCCACGTGAAAAAAACAAATTAAGTTGAAATAAGTTTTTTGCTCCATTAAGTTGAAGAGGGGATGGTGCTGCTGAGCAAACCTGCCTGGCAGAAGCCTGGCTGCTGCTTCAAGCATCATATCCACACTATAATTAACACTAACTTACAGTCAGCAAGGCTCATTTCCTCCCAGATAAGGAGATACTTACTAGAAGGGAGTGCAGGATGTGATGAGGGGATTCCTTTCTGAATATGTTTTTACAGCCACACTAGAAGGGACAGAGTGAAAGCCTCTGCCCCACATGCCAGGTGTTGTCCAGCTGTGAAACCCCTTTGGGTCCTGGAACCTGTGTATGGAACACAAAGGGCCTGGATGCTGCCAGCCCCATGCCCTGCCCTGCCAGTGCAGCATTCCAGCCTCTCTGCCTGGTCTACAACCCCTTTAGGAACAGAAAATCAGCATTTTTGGCATGGCAGCACCACAGGAGGAACGTGCATTGCATGCCCACCTGTAAACTGACTCCCTGTAACGATGAGCAGCTTTAATGCCATTCTAATGAGCCAGTTCTGATAGAATTTATGCTGTGCTTCCAAAGAGGGGAAAAGCTCTTACCTATTGTTCTTCGGAGATCTTCACACTGGCTAATGTGAGGGAATTTCAGGATTTCCTTCCACTTTTTGCTTTTGCCTTTGCGTTTCCCTCCACCCCCTGCAGAGAGAGAAATACCAGGATTAGATGGCTCTGGGAATACAGTTCCACCCAGAGTTTACCTGCCCAGTCACAGTTCTTATGGATACCATTGATAATTAAAGCTGAGACACTGTGGGTTGATGTACAACAGATCCCTGGAAGTGTTCAAGGTAAGGCAGAATGGGGCTCTGAGCAATCTGGTCTAGCAAAAGAGATCCCGGCTCATGGCAGAGGGTTTGCAACTAGATGGCCTTTAAGGTCCCTTCTAAGCCAAACCATTCTATGATTCTATGATACAGATCAAATTTCAACTTGTTTGAACTAAAAACAGACCAAGGAGGTGGCATCTGGCAGATCAGCTCACTAAAAGTCAGTGGACTTGTTGCCCACCAGGTCCAGCTGAGATGACAGTGCTACCTCCTGACAGCATCACCTCTTCCCCAACCAAGAGCCACTTCACACAAGTCAAACAATCTTGTAAAATTACAGTTCACACGTTTTCAACACAGATATATCCCCCTTCTGGTTTTGGGACAAACCCTGATTCTATCCCAAAAAAGTGCTGAAAACTGAAAAAATCAAGTTCAATTCCTACCATCCCCTCCCACCCTCACATTACATATCCTGCTGTGGCACTGCTGCTGCTCTTACACACTCTGGTCACTGCTGCTTCCACAGGACAACTCTCTGACAAAATTAATAGCTTCATGAGGAAAAAAATCACTTATTGGTTCTTCTTTCTGTTCTGCTTGGAGAGGCTGTGCAGCTAATGGAGGAGGAGAATCCCTGTGGACATGAGAGCCCAGATGCAGACTGGGATTCTCTGAGCCCCTGTATTTACTGCAATTCAGTCCCTGCACACAAATTCTGATCCACTTGAGTCTATTTTGCATGCACTGGCATGCTGAATGACTAATTCAGAGCTGAGTTAATTCTGTAGAGGGGTTGGTAGAGTCACAATTGCAGATTGAAAGTGTCTTGGGTCCTGCATGACATTACAGGCTAAATTAGGAGAGCACTGACTCAAGAAGCAGCAGACCACCAGAGAGAAAACAGGAGCCTTGGAAAAAAATCACAAGTATTGCTCTCTGTGGGGCATTTCTGATCACACAATGCCATCTTTGGCACAGGAGAGCTCCTTTTGAATCTCACCTTTTGTTCCTTTGCTTCTGATGTCCAAAGGTTTTGCCATCATAGAGTCTGCCTTGAATTATTTTAAACTCCTTATTGACAGGAGCTGATTGTATTTCTGCAGCATGCAATGTAGAGCTGAGATATCTGCACTGGCCCTGCAGGAACCAGCTGGTTTGGACTTTGAGGAGCACAGCCCTGCTGTCCTTTCCAGGAATCAAACTGCAGGAAAGCACAGAGAGCTGTGACTGCCTCCCCACCCCACAGCATTCTGCAACACAGACATTCCCCTTGGGTCTGTCATGAATTCTGCTTCAACCCTCCCATCAGTGCATCCCAGCCACTGCTGCTGAAGTCATTTCCTCCCCATCCCTCTGCCCACAGCATCAGAGAGCTTGTCTTGCTCTCTTGGTCCTGCATGCTGAGGGCCTTAGGTGAACTGCGAAGTGCTGTTGAGCGCTTTGTGGGCTGGGGTGAGCTCCGTGATCATCTGTTCACCAACTTCTGGAGCACATCTGCTCCCAGATGGCTCTGGCCTGGCTGCCAGTGGCCACAAGGGGTTGGATTCAGCAACCCTAAGAGTCTTCACTGGTGTTCATGTCCCCAAAAGCCCACTCCTGTCATCCTGCACAGTGGCTCCTGCATGCCAGGCTGCCACCTCCACTTGTTCCTCCTTTCCTTCTCTTCCAGGGGCATTTTCCTTTGTGCTCCTGCCCTTATGCCTCATCACACTATACTTACACTTCTGTCCCTGCACCCTCCCTTCACATACTCCTCTGGGAAAATGATCCTTCCACCAGGAGTTCCTGCTTCCTTTTCTCTTCCAGTCGTTTTCTGTGGCTGCATTTTCTTCTCTGAACCATTCTTCCCTGAACTTTTCTTCTCTTTGTGTTTTCCTCACACTCATTTATCTTAGAATCACAGAATCCTACAATACCCTGAGTTGGAAAGGACCCATCAAGATAACTGAGTCCAGCTCCTGGCCCTGCACAGGACACCTCAAGAAACACACCTGTGCCTGAGCGTGCTGTCCAAATGTTTTTGAACTCAGACAGGTTTGGTGCTGTGAGCCCTTCCCTGGGGGAAGTCTGTTCCAGTGCTCAGTCACTCTCTGTGTGAAAAACCTTCTCCTGATACCAAACCTAAACCTCATTTCTGTGCTCCTCATTTCTGGCTGCTGCCACTGCAGCACCTCTGCTCTTGCCAAGGGTCAGACAGAGATGCTGCTTGGGGCAAGGAGGAGCTCTCTGCTCAAGGGATGCATTTTCAAACACTTTTGGACACAGGAGGCAGTGGGGGTCAGCCAGGTGAAACCATCCTTTAGGCTAATCTGCTCAACACTGGTGCATCTTCACCCACTGAAGGTCTCCCCTGTAAGCACTAGAAATTCCAGAGCACACTTGCTTTCCCAGCCACCTTTACAGAAGTCCTCCCCAAAAGGCTCCATCTTTAGCGACATCAAGCAACACAGAATACTGCAGAATAGCCCTTTGCTCTAAATGACAGCTCTGAGATTTGTGCAGAGGTGATATGATCCTGCTAAGCTGGGCCAGAACATCTTTAAAATCCATTCAGTGTAAAATATGTATTGATGTATTTACATGGGATGATGTATTCCTGACATTAAATTCCCATCAAAACCAGGGAAGGGCTCTGTGGCCCCCCGTTACAACCGTGATCAATACAGCCAGCATGTTCCCTTCTCTTTTGTGGCTATCCTCCAAAAATAAGCAGCCTTGCCTGATGAATCATTTGCTCTTAGCTGAGCGTGAAGCAGCGTTCCTGCTTTGCTTGTGACGTCTTTATGTTAAAGATTCTGATCAAGTGCTTTAATCGACCTGACCTTTCCGCTCCCAGCTCTTCTCGTGGAGCCAGCAGTGTTTGCTGCCTCCAAACGTTAACTCTGGGGGGGTTTGAAGGACATAATGCACTGAGACAGCTGAGACACACAGTAAATTGTCTGGTAGAGCTAAAAGGGGAGGTTTCTCTGAGCAGGTCATGGTGCAGGTTGCAGAGGGAAGCTTTTCACACGTTGCCTCGACTGCTGCCTTTGCACCCTCTATTCCATACAGGAGGATTTGCACTCTTCAAGGCAGCTCTCAGGGCAGGACTTGACAGACAGGCCATGTTTAAAATCTAAGTTCCATCATGCGGTGTTGGAGGGTTTGACTGCTTTAAAATTTTGCTGTGCTGCTGCTGACAACCAAAGGTGAGCTGCCAGCAGCAGCACAAGAGCTCAGCCCCGCTGCCTTGCCTGCACTCAACAACTCAGCATTTGCAAACTGAGGGCTGAAGCTAATTCTCTAACATGTCAACCAGTCCTGCAGGAAACAAAAGCATTTGCTCTACATCCTATCTACTGAAAAATACATGGCACTTTTCACATCATCTTGTGATGCTGCATGGCAAATCTAGCTCTGATCTCTGCTTGTGAGGAGAGAGACATAACCAGAGGCACACATGTAAAACATCTGCCAGCAGGAGTTACCTTTAGTCTAAAGTGCCTACCTTTATTCCCCTCCGTTATTCAGGATATACTTATTCTCCTAACACCAAAGGGAGACAGGAAAACACCTGCATATTATTAAGCCAGTGAGATATTAAGTGGTTTGTCCAAAATTAAATGAGAAATCAGAGACAGAGGACAGAGCTGATGATGAAGCTGAAGAAGCCAAGGCTTTGAGCCTGTTAATTCTGCTAAAGACAGCACCAAGCCATGCTCATGCTCAGATGATTGAAGATTATTTACAACACAGAGTAAAACATATTGTTGGATGAATTTATTCTAGCATCACACCCGTAGCATATTCCATTTGTGCCTCATGCCACCATGCAAGGTGGATTTTAAGGAAGGACAATCTGGCTTCCTACTGCTGCTCTGTTCTTGGCCAAGTTGATAAGGCAGCAGCACATCCCATGCTGCCAGGCCTGGCTAATCCAAGACAGCCAAGTATTTCATCCAAGTGTATTAACTGCAATCTAGCTGATCCACAGATCACTGGAGGATGACTACAGTTTCCATCTTCCACTTCACAACAGCACCTGGGCTGTCACCCAGGGCCTCCCCAACAGCAGCAGAGAGTTCTGTAGCCTCAGAATGCAAGGCCTTGATTACACAGTGAAAAAAACCCACCAAAAATATTAAAAGTCAGAAAAATCATGGTTAGTGTCCTGTTTCCACTCACAAGATGTTTACATTTCTTCTCTTCTTCCTCTTGCCACCCTGTCTCTGCTCTGTCCCAGGGAGATGTTTGAAGCTATGTGTTCTATATGGAATTGCCATATTAGAGTAAGGTCTGCCAGTACAGGATGGACTGCAGGCAGCTTCAGAGGAAGATCCTAAAAAGCTGTTTCGGAAGTACTTGAAAAACATTAAATTTGTTCCATATTCTGTTAATTAGATGTGGCTAACAAAACATGAAGGTGTATGGCTTCCAATCAATTTCTTCTCCTTTTTTAGCATTTGTGCTACTTAGAATCAGGCTGTTCTTATGATCCTGGTAAACGCCCTGCACTGCTGAATGCCCTCATGTCTCATGTGGGTGTGAACACCAAAGATTAACTGTGTATTTGTGAAGGAAAAGAATACTAATTTTAATCTTGTTTTCCTAGAGCGCCTTGTCCTAATGAGACAGCATGAATAAAACTTACCAGCCCATCATTTTCCCCTAGGAATTTTTCATGTCTAATACATTCAGCCTCTGAGGCAAACAGTTTCACCCTTATTAGACCTGTTTCATGTGGAAGTTCTCCCAGGTTCACTATTCTTCTTTCCTATTAGTTCCACCTACGCTCAGCTGTACTAGCAAATAAAACCAGCTTGTTTTTAAAGAATAAAAGACTGCTTGCTCTCTGCCCTTCATCCTGCCTCTCTCCTCTGGGGATAA